CCATTTCCTATAACGTTCAGTTTTTAAAACTTACATTGCAGTCTCTTAGGAGGACATCTCAGTTTTCAAATGCTTATGTGGGGAATTGGCTCATGCCCATTACCTGGCTAAAGATATTTATGGGCAGCTACGAAAATAAACTGGAAGATTTCACCTCACATGTAAATAAAATTTCATCTGTCCCATTTCTTTTTTACAACAATGGAAATATAGAAAGAGAAAACCAGGACAAAGCAGATTTAAGTGAAAAATAATGTTTTTGCAGTGCTGAAGATGGAGGCAAGCCCTCTATCACTGAGTTGCCTCCCCAGCCCTATTGTGTTTCTTGGGCAATTAATTGATCACATATTTTGTGCAAATGATACAAATCCAAATCAGGTGCACTGGAATCTGTATTAGTGCCTACAGTTGCTGTGATTAAGTACCACAAACTATGCATATTAAAACAACAAAAATCTATTGTGTCATAAATCTAATGACTGAAAGTCCTAAGCAAGACATAGACAGGGCCATGTGCCCTCTGAAACCTGAAGGTGGATCCTTCCTTGAATCTCCGGCTTCAGTGTTGGCCTCAGTCCTCAGCGTTCCCGTCCCGTAGGTGTATCACGCCACTCTATTCTCTGCCCCTGGCTGTCTTCTCGCTTTGTACGTCTCAGTGTCTCTTCTTCATTTCTTATAGGGACACTAGCTATTGATTAGGACCTACCCTACTCCAGCACAACTTCATCTTAACTAATGACATCTGCAAGGCCTCTGTTTTCAGGAAGGTGACATCTGACTTACTGGGGCTTAGGACTTAAACATATCTTTCTGGGGGACACAGTCAACTCTAGCCCTCCAAAATCATGTCCTCCCAATGTGCAAAGTACATGCATCCCATCCCCACACCCTCAGAACTCTTAACTATCCTCCCATCGAATACAAGTCCAAAATGCCATCTAAATATCATCACCTCAAAGTCCCAAATTTCATCATCCAAAGCAGTTATGGATAAGGCTTGGAGCATGATTCATTCTGGGCCAAAATTTCTCTCCAAATATGGACTTCTGGAATCAGAAACAGTTATGTGCTTACCAAATACAATATCTAGGCATAGGATAGATATTTTCCTTCCAAAAAGGAGAATCTGGGAAGAGAAAAGAGGTCATGAATTCCAGCCAAATCCAAAACCTAGGAGGGAAAATCCCATTAGATTTCAAGGCTTGAGAACAGTGCTCTAAGCTCTGATGCTTCTTTCTCTGGGCCCAAGGGGCAGCAGTCCCACCCAGTTGGGCCACTGGGGCAGTGGGCCTACACGAGGAGGTCCTGTTGACCCAAGCCTCTGCACCCAAGGCTCTGGCCTTTAAGTTATTCTTCATTAATTTTGTTCTGTGCCTTTCAGTCCAGACTGGAAATGTTTCTGCTATAGAACTCAAAAACCTTGTCAGCCTCCCTTGCAATCAAAGGGATCCAAGACACCAGACCAGAGGATCGTCCACAGATCTTTCCTGAACAACTGCCTCTCACTTCCTGGCTTCAGCTGAGACCTCTGAGTAGATCCATGAGTCACACACCTCATTTATTTAGCAAACAGTTGTCAAGCCACACTCTTGGCTATGTCTGTAGTGCACTGTCTAGAGAGGCTAAGAACTCTCCAAGTTGGCAGGTGCCAACTCCTTTCTGTGTAGCCGTGCCTGCTTCAATTTCTTTCTCTCTTCTCACATTTTACTATAAACAGCAAGGAGAAATCAGGCTGCACCTTCCACATCGTACTTGGAAATCTCCACATACCCAAGTTCATTGTCAGTTACAAGCTTACTTTCTTTCCAATGGCACAACCCAAGTCACTCCAGTTCTCTGCTACTTTATAACAATGTCACCTCTCCTTTAGTGTCCAATAACATGTTCTTCCTCCCATCTGAGACTTCACCAGAAGCACCGTGATGTTCATAAGTCTAGCAACATTCTGTACATGGAGATGCAAGGATTCTCTAAAAGACAATGGAAGATCTCTCTGTATCTCTTCTCACCTCTTTCTGAGCCCTTCCCAGAACTACCTTTAATGACTGCATTTCTACCAACAGTCTCTTAAGGTTATCTAGGCTCTTTCTCTCCAAGGCTTCAAAATACTTCCAGCCTCCACCCATTACACAGCCCCAAAAGCCACTTATGTAATTATTACAGCAGTATCCTGTTTTCCAAAATTGATATCAAATAATTCATCATCCCCTGATGGTCCTGGTGCCATGGCATCTAAATAGCAAGAACAGTGATTTGACCATTGAAAATGAACTAGGAGAAAATCTGCCCCATCAGCATTAAAAATGATGCGTTCACACTGCCAGTAAGAAAGGGCAGACCAGTGTTCCGATGGGAGCTGTGTCGAATGGGATGCTGATTTAAGAGATCTGGATAAAAATACCTTCAATGCTGAGTCATGATGAGCTGGAATATAGAGATCATTTTCTTGCAACTCTTTCAAAAGCACAGAGTAAATGTGCACTGAGTTTCACTATGGAGAAGAATGTAAATGCATTGAATAAATATCCGAATAGGGAAATATGCATGTGGACAGAATTTTCTGTATTTTGAGCAGAAATAAACTAAACTGCTCAGGTGTTGCCTGGAGTGGACAACTGTGCATCTTGGACAAAAGGAAAGATAAGGATGATTTATGAGTTTTCTTACATAAGTTAGTAGTGATAAAGTACCTTCAGACAATGTAATTCCTTAATCAAACAGCTCTTTTTGCTAACTTAGTTAAAAATAAATTCAGTTTTTCATCAGTCTCTTTTCTTACAACCTTGAAACTGATTACACTTTTTTTTTTTTTTTTTTTTGGTGGTGGTGGTGGTGGTACTGGGATGGAACCCAGGTCTCTACACATGCCAGTCTACACCCCCAGCCCCTGATTACATAGTTTATACAGATGATCAACAATTCAAATTAGCTGGGTCTGGCATTACAAGTTTTTATGTTGTTAGCAATTCATTGGTCCTTGTAACTTTATGGTTAGCTGGGCCTAGACCAGATTCTTAGAGGAAAAAGAGTACTTATTGTATCAGGTACTGTCCTGAGTCCTCTCCTATTGATTCCCTATTTGGAGAAAATCAGTAATTGATCTCATTTACTCCTCACAAATGTTAATGTGGGTAGTTTTTATTTTCTTTTAATCAGTGGGCCTTGGAAACATTTAGGAATTTGAATAATGTCAGACAGCTAGGATCAAATAAAACCTACATATATATGTATATACCTACATATATATGGTGACCCACCTTACAGAAATAGCTGGATTGCGTATGAAACCCCCTCCTGCTGAGGAGTAAGCCACCTCTGAGCACCCAGAGTCCCAAGGCTACAGGACACCCTGTCTGAAACAATGCTAGGCTAGCCCAGTACCCTGGACCGGAAGTCCACTGCTTTCAAAGGACCCCTCTTCCACAGGAAGGCTAGGAATTTACATTTTAACATCATTAGAAGTAACCAGAGCATTTGTTGGGTAACATTTTAACTGGTTTTCAATGACCTTTGAAGCATCAGATTAAATATTAACTAACAAAAAAGCAGCTACCTGCTTAAAAATTATACCACTTACCTAGGATTAAAAATCCAGTATTTGAATTTTTTCACAGCTCACTCTTCATCATTGATTTTAGAAAGAGAAAAAAAAAATGCCTTGGAATTAGAAGAAAGAACTCTAAGGAAGGACACTTTGAACTTTTCATGTTCAGTTTTTTTGCTCCATTCAATTTCAGATAGACCACATAATCAAAGAATATTGTATGCTTTATGTTTTCAAAGTTCTTCCTAGATATTCATTAGTTTTCTATAGACCACAAAGAAAGCCCTTCAATTGAGAGGGGCTGCATAGGCAGAACACTGACAGATAAAATAAAAATACACTGGCTTCTGACAATAAGTGAAGACACCAGCAGGGGGCGAACTTGTTGCCCATCCTAAACTGAGTAGTGGAAATTCCCCATTTAGAGAGAATCAGCCCTCTCTCTGCATGGTCACTTGTTATGTAGGTCTTTTCATTGTGGTCCTGATGAATTCCCTAATCTACTCAAACCCAACAATTCGACCATTTTTGAGTTGGACATTCTGCATTTACAAACAGGCTGCCTCATGAGGTTGGAACCAGTAGTTATTTCTAACATAAAAGCCTGAAGCTAGTCTCCCTGGCCTCAGAAATGGTGAGTGATATTCTGTCCATGCCACTTGGGTACTTTTGCTGGGTCAGACACTGTGTTAAACCCTGGTGACAAAGTTGATCCCAGCTCTCAGGGAGCTGAATGTTCATTTTTGAGTTTAATTCTTAGAAAAAGTGATACCTATGCCGTTTTATAAATCTTTTATACCCCAATGATATTGGCAAAATTATATTGTGTGCATGTACAAATATATAACAACAAATCCCACCATTATGTACAACTATAATGCACCAATAAGTAATGGAAAAAAATCTTTACTCCCCAAGGGCTGCTTTATTCTCTGCATTTAAATGTTCATTAAAATTAGTCTCCACTTAGCAATAGTGACATGTTAAGGAGCTCATGAAGGAGATGAGAGATAGATGCTTAATAAGTGTTTGTTGGTGGATATCTTTCCTGTCTAAAGCTACCAGTCTTACCTTCTCACCTTCCACTGCCTCAGGAAAAATCCCCTGATTTTTGAAACTAAAAGACTAATGGAGGATTTGACTGAGTGACGTGGGCCATATTGTAGGTTTTCATCAGTGACACCATGGATCCAGTTGAAATGAAACTGAATCTTTTCCTACAGTGTTTTTTGGGCAATCATCACTTTTCTCGTTAAGACAAGAAACCAAAAGCAAAGGTTCAAGTTCGTTTCTTGACCTGTGTCATATTTTCATGGTCACGGGGATGTTTTTTTCGTTTTTGATAGTACGAGAGGAACATGGAGAATAAAATGCATGTTTTATGAAAAGAAATCAATTGAATTGATGACCAGTCTTCCAACTTGCTTTTAAAATTTTTGTGACAGTTTAACCAAGCATGACTTGTTGCCAAACTTCACCAAGCCATTCCTGGCTTTATCCTATAGTAATTCTCTGCCTATTTGGTTTTTTCTCAATGATGAAACCATCAGAGCCATTTATCATAGTTTATTTAACAGGACTTGACAAAAAGTATGAGCCTCAGTGTGCTAAGTTAATTAGTTACAACTATGTCCAACACTTTGGGTAGGAGCAAAATAGCAACACTTCTTATGATCTCAGATGTCAACTTTGTTAAGATGGGCATCAACATGTCTGGGTATCAGTTATGTAAAAATAAAAATTCGAGCTACAACAAAATTGGAGTAGGTGAAAAAATTAAAAACTTACTTTATCTTCTGGCTGTGCAAAACCAAACCTCCAGGAGTTTTTGCTTATTATCATTAACCTAACACACGCCATCCCCGCTTAGGAATGTAGGAGTTAGAGGATAATAGAAGATTTGGGGTGGAGCAGGGGCCAGGGGCAAGTTACCAAAAGTCATGTGAGAAGGCCTCTGAAAATTTCTCCCTCTTTATGAATAAGTATTAGGCTGCTTTTAAATTTCACTCAGGTCAAAGGATCTCGTCTTAAGAAGCCTCAAGTCCGGTGGTTCTTAAAGTGTGGCCCCCAGACACTGCATCAGCATAACCTGGAAACTGGTTAAGATGCAAATTCTCAGACCCAGTCCTGTTTTCTGTTTTTTAACAAACCTTCAGGGTGAATCTGACATATGCTAATTTGAGAACCACTGGTTTAAGCTGTTGAGCATTGATAAGATCAAAGAAGAAACTGTGTTGGTTCATTTTCTTCAGGAAAATAATTTACTAACCTCCATTTTATAGCCTGGTTATTTAGCCAACAGTAATTGGTAAGATCACAACTTTCTCTTCTTTGGCTTCTCTTTCCTGGCCTCCATCCACACCAAGGGGACTGCTCTCCTCTCAGTAAACACGAGTACATGCCAATCCTGGCTGCCATTAGGCGCAAATTGCTTTAGCTGGAAGATTCACTGGGCTGGACAGAGACTCAGTAAAGCTGAGCTGGAATGAGACCTTTCCCAGATTAGTAGCTATTTCTAAAATCAAGGAAGAAAGTTCTCCAAACTACAGAAGCACTTGGGTAAAGGTCGACCTGGACTCTCAAGGTCCCAGATTAGGTCAAAGTACATTCTCTGGCTCAGAAAATCAGTGGGTTGAAAATTCAGAGAGAAGAGAGATTTGAGAGGAACTATCCTGCCTCCTTTATGTCATCTTCCATCCATTCATCATTTCCTCTATGGAAACTGAAATACTCACGTTCTACTGCCCCGTTCAGATAATTTGCTCATGCTACCTGTGTTCCATGACAACGTTGGCGTGAGCAAGGGAGCTAAGTAGTTTCTCCTGGTTCCTCCAGAGCAGCCTAAGAAGCCCAGCCAAGAATGGGGAAACACAGAGGAGTGACTCAAACACGCTTCTTTATCTGACTTTCAACCTCAAACCAGTCATTTGTACCATATTTACCTGATGGTCCCGATGGTATCTCAGTGGTACGCTCATTCAAGCACCGATGTGGATCAAAGGTGATGGTGATCAAGTTCTTCCAGTACTGAGTCATCTTTTTTGACCTTTTGATTCTGACTTTGAAGAGGAGTAAGCTATTTTGTTAAGTACCCACAAGCCCAGAACCTCAGCAGTCCTGCATTGCCCTGGATATTCAAAGTGTAAAAAGATTAACTTGTGCATTCTGGACTCTTTCCCCAACCTCAGTAGCTTATGCGGATCAAATTACATTTTTAAAAAGTTAACAGCAGGTGACTCATCTAAGAGCATGGAAAAACAAGCTCTTTTTCAACATTGGTAGAAAGAGTGAGAAAAAGGCACTGCAGAGACAGAGGCCAAGGATCTTCTCCCCTGCCTCCTCCTCCTCCTTTTCTTCCTCTTCCTCCCCCTCCACCTTCCTGGAGGTATGAAGCCACCGGTTACAAATATCTGTCAATTTCCAACTTGTTTCCTTGAATTTGGGTTTTGTGTTGCTTTTCAACATATTGTCAGAACTTCTTGTAAAGTATAAACTCGGACCCACTTTGGCAGAGGCCAAGCAATGTGTCCAGGGATTGATGCACGTCATCTTAACCATGTCTGTGACAGAGACCCACAGTTCAGTTCACTTCCTGGTAGTTCTGCCCTCGCGCTCTCCACATTTAATTTTGCAGAACACAAAAGACAACTAACTTTCCACTTTGGACCTACTCTTACCTGGTGCTGCTGCTCCCTGTGTTTGTCCTCACTGATTACGTCCGCTACAAGCCGGTCATCGTCTTACAGGGGATAAGCTTCATCGTCACCTGGCTGCTGCTCCTGTTTGGCCAAGGAGTGAAGATCATGCAGCTTGTTGAATTTGTCTATGGTCTGCTGTCGGCCACCGAGGTGGCCTACTATGCCTACATCTACAGTGTGGTCAGCCCAGAGCACTACCAGAAGGTGAGCGGCTACTGTCGGAGTGTCACGCTGGTGGCCTACACAGTGGCCTCGGTGCTGGCCCAGCTCCTGGTTTCCCTGGCAAACGTGTCCTACTTCCACCTCAACGTCACCACCTTGGCCTCTGTCTCCGTGGCTTTCTTCTTCTCACTCTTTCTGCCAATGCCCAAGAAGAGCATGTTTTTCCACACAAAACCCAGCAAACCAGCTCCTCAGAAGACACCAGGACAGACTGCTGTCCTAGAGGAAGCCCATAGAGGTGACGAAGCAGCCCACCAAGAAGCAGGCACCCTTTCCAGGCATGGGGAGGAGAGCCAGCCCAGCAGCCCCAAGCCCAGACATGAGGCTTTGAGGAGCTGCGTGCAGTGGTTCCAGGATCTGCGGGAGTGCTACTCCTCCAAGCGTCTTTTCTGCTGGTCCCTGTGGTGGGCTCTTTCCACAGCGGGTTTTAACCAGGTTTTGAACTATGTGCAGATCCTGTGGGATGACAAGGCCCCATCCCAAGATTCCTCCATCTATAATGGAGCAGTAGAAGCCCTTGAAACCTTGGGGAGTTGGTATGCAAGACTTTATCTTATCCATGTGCAGAAAATGTGCATAATATATGTAGCTGAGATACTCCATGGTTAAAAAAATAAAATAAAAAAATAAAAACAGTTAGGCTATTTGGAAATAACTGTAATGAGTGTATTTTGGTGATGTGGAGCCCTGAGAAGAGAAAGCTCATGAGACCTCCGATTACAAGACCTAAGGTTAGGAAGAGTATACAGCATGTGGTTAATGTGACATATTTGCTATTTATACCGAAGAGGACTACTGAATCAATGGGAAAAAACGCTGTCTCAAGTTTTTACCCATGTTCTATCACTTCCCAAGTGGGCAAGTCAATTAAAACTCCAGTTTAATCCATTCTGTTCTCCTAAAAGTCCAGAACAATACTGGCTAGCTTCCTTCATAAGATTACTTTTAAGACCAAAAGGGATCTTCATGTAAAGGTAATTGTATATTGTAAGGTTGGTCTTAAGTGAAAAACAGAGTTTTTGTTAATTTTTAATACAAAATGAATTATTAAGCATTCGAACTGTGATCTTGGATAACACCGTGGTATTGATTTCAACACTGAATACTAGATTGTTTGGAAAAAAAATAAGACTTCAGTTACAAAATTCAAAAGAGGCAGCTAATGTCATGAAAGACTGATGAAGCTCTACCTTTCCCTAAAGACATCAGTGACAAGGTAGCATCCTACTGACCAAATGTGGCCTGTCCTCGGACAGCTGGAGGTTTCCGATTGAACCATCAAGACCCTTTCCTTTCTCTAGCCTTTCACTAACTCTAGTCTTTAGCTGTCATTTGCAAGCTGTTGACATGAGGTGGGCAAACTGAGCCATGGCACACACTACAGTGTGCAGTGCATGCTGCAGAAAAACAGCAACAATATGTGCCAAGAATTGTGAAAAATAATAATAAACAGAAAAAGATTTGTGGCTTATAGTCCAAAGTGATAGGGGACAGAGAGATGTGAACAGAAGGTTAAGGGAATATTTCTGTAACTGGGCTCACTGTGCTGACCCCTACATGCTTTCTTTTCTAAGAAGCAATTTAAGCAGTCTTACCTGGCTTAAGTGGACACGATATGTCACATTCCTCAGCAAACTACCTGTTATCTACAAGAGAAATGCAGGCCCCAAATAATGTCGATAAAAGAAACCCAAGTTGCCCTGAAGGGGGAGACTTTGTGACCCTTTTCATAGACCAGATCCCAAGACTCGGGGAGATAAGGATAATTCCTCCTAACCAAAAAATCTGTAAGAATTCGTAGTAAAGAATCCAATTAGAACAATTCAGCATGGACCAAAATAACCTAGGGTTGCCATGGCAGTGGGGACTTAGAAGTGTGATGTCACCTTGCTGCCAGTCAAATCTCAAGAGGTAGACCTAGCTGGGACTTTCTGGAAATTTCTCTGGGATCCTTAATAAAACTGGGGTGCAGGAGAGGCCCACTGTCCCTCTCCTTTCTGAGAGGACCCACTCTTTCCCTTGAGAGTGTCCCTTTCTTTTGTCCTGTCCTCTCAATAGGCTCAGTTCTATTACTCTGAGCAACGTGTCTGAAATCTTTCTGATTTGATTGAAAAATCAGGGTTGGCAGTGGGTAGGGGGATCTTTGAACTGCCTCAGTTTCCTGGAAGGGCCCAGGTCTGTAACAAAAGCATAAATTGGCCCTGTACCAATTATAGATCTTGAACAATTCAGTGGGGTTGCTGACCAAGGTCTTATTTCCTTCCTTCCTTTTTTTCTGTTTCAGAGGATCTAATCCAGGACCTTGCATATGCTAGGCAAATGCTTTACCACTGAGCAGTACTCCCAATCTGACCAATATTTAAATCAAAGTTTCAGGTAAGACTGTGTAAGATAGGGTGGGTGGGTGAGGGGGAAATGTAAGGAGCATATCAGCTCACAAGGATGCATTCCATCTAGTGAAAATTCTGTTCACATCCAAATACATGTGATGGGCAGTATATAAATTTTTCCCCCAGGATATAGCCAAAGAGATTTGGCTAACATATTTCAAAGAATTTCAAATCAATAACTTTAATAATTATGTTGCTTCTTTCCTTAACTGTATAGATGTTGCCTTCTGATTTATCTTCAAGAATAACAGTGAATTCTGAAACTTCCCCTCCCATCTCCACAGCCAGGCTGTTTGGCTGTCCTGCATGGTTTTCTGTCTGGCCCTGTGCATATTATTTCACTATTGTTGGTAAGAACCAGAGACAAGCCTCCTCCTAAGAAGTAGTAATTATTGATTGTGGTGATAGTGCAACAGAAGAGCAGGAGCACACCAGGTGGGACGGGGCAAGGCAAGGTGTGCGGTGGCAGGTGAGGCAGCCCCTTGTGGTGGATAGGAGCCGGTGCCAAGAATTCACTTCACTGCTTTCCCTGGAGTTGGCTGGTGTCTGCTTCATCCTTGTTCAATTAGAGATGGATTTCTGATGTTGCATATTACCCAGTAGGAAAAAGGCAGGAAGATTGGGGTGGCCTGGGAGGGCCCTGAGAATCTTGCTGGTGCTTGAGGGTTTCTAGATCCAGTACCCAACTTTGAACCCTCTCCTGAACTTTCTGCTTGGTCAAAGTGTCCCTCCATCTAAGAAGCTGAGGTATTTTGGGGTATTTTAGATACTTGTCCCTTCCAAGCTTATGTTTTGTCATGACTGAAACACTTTTCCAAAGAAAGGAGGTGCAGGGAGGGACAGGCAAAGTGTCCCAGGCACCGGTGCTCCCGGGGGTGCTAATGCAAGTCCTACTGGCCTAAGCTAAGAAGGGCAGAGCCCAGAGATGTCTTTGAAGTTACCCCAACAATGCACATGTATTTTCCTGATATAACAAAGCTCTCACATCAAATGAGACTTTGAAGATATTTATTCTGAACTTGGGTTGTTCCACACCCACCTAGGTATTGGAAATTTCAGGATCTGTTGTTAATAGTCTCCTTTTCCTTTCTGAAAGTTCCCATTTGACTTCTAGAAACCTTCTTTAAGATTTGATCATATTAAGCTCATTTCCACTGTAAATACTTGCTCCTGGGGAGAAGTGGGGGTAGATTCGCCCCCCAGTCCTGTGATACACTCTTACTTGAGACATGTATAGAAAAGGTAAAATTCCAGCAAAGTCAGTGCCTGAAACTCTTTAGACTCAAATGATTTTTAGTATCCTTGTAATAGCAAGGACCCAGTGTCAAATTTTTAGGCAAAAACCACAAATTCTGGTTGCTAAAAGGCCTCACATTAAATTAAGCCGGGTCTTTAAGAAAGAAGGCTGGAAATGGTATGAAAGCTGACAGCTGTCTGCTCAGCTCTGCACATTGTAGGAACACACCAGAAGACATCTATTTAATGCACATTTTAAGATGAGTTTCTCCTGGGATGGGCCCATAGCCACATGTGCTTCCCAACACATGGTGAGTTAGGTCAGAACTTGGGTCAGTGTTTCCATCCTCAGCATATTGATGTTTGGAGTTGAATAATCCTTTGCTGGGGTGGAGGAGCTGTCCCACACATTGTACGATGTGTGGCCACATCCTCAGCCTCTGAATCCTAGATGCAGGATGTCCCTCATCATGACAACCAAATACATCTTCACATATAGTCGTGAGGCCCAAGAAAGAAAAGTACCTCTAGTTGAGAAGGGCTGACTAGAGATAGAGTTAGATTAGGGTTAGGGTCAGCAGCCCCTCATAACTCTTATCCTGTTATATTAAAACTAAACATTTATTAGTTTAATGTATCCCTCTAGGCTGCATAGTTTTTAAGAGCAGGGGCACCAAATTTACTACCATATTGTGCCATAAAGAAGCTAAAAAATACTTGAAGCGTAAGTGAATGAATGAATGAGCAAGTAAAGAAAGGAAGGTTCACACAAATAGTTGGGAGAGTATTTAGAGAAAATTCTTGAAAAGCAGTTTGGTATCTGTCAGGTATCTTTAGGCAACTCTTTAAATGATGTTACAGAAAGAGAAAACTGAGATGAAGGCAAAGGGGGAGATCTTGGGTAAGAGGGCAGGTGGAAAGGTTATGGGAGTCCAGAGAGGGCACCTCAGATTAGACAGCTCCAGACTGGAGATCTTGGACGCCTCCCTCCAATGGCCACGTGGTCACAGTTCCCCATCTCTCACCTTCTGCTTTATCTTGCCAAACTTGAATCAGGCTCCTCTTTTTGCTACAGGCTCCTAAACCCCACTGGCCTCAACCCTGAGCAAGCAAAAAACTTGAGGAATGTGTCCCCCTTATCAGCACCCCCCGGGAGTGGACTGACCAAGGCAGGACACTTTCCTGTCTGGGCTCAGGGAGCATTTCCCCCCGAATGTCCAAATCGCCCTGCAGGGATTCTGCTGATCTCTGCCTGCCCCTCCTTTCCCCTATAAAAGAACACCCTTTTTCTGTTTGTTTTGGGGACACTGGCAGATTTCTGCGACCAGAACATTGTCCCTATTGCGGTCGTCTCTCTTCTAAATAAAAGCTTCTTCCTAAGTCCAGATTCATTTTTACTTGACACCAGGTTTTTGCACCTAAATTTTATGACCTTCAAAGGGAAGAGGAAAGAAAACAATGGGCTCCCCAGGTCCTTTCCAGGTTATGGATTTATGGGCACTCAAACTCCGTTGATTTATTTCAAACTCTAGGAGAACGAGACTGAGTGACTTTTTCATTTAAAATGTGCAGTAAGTCAGGGGGTTTTTTTAACCCTGAAAGTGGATCAACATTTCTATAATATGGATTTCAACAATCCTGTAGGCTGTCTTACTATGAAGACACTAACAAGATACAGTATAAGTCGACTCCTTTCTTTTCAGGGACTATGGCAGCCCTCACAGTGGTCTATTGAAATTAACTGAAATCTGGGAAAGCTGGTCTCTGGGACCTTGTCTGCAGCAGATGAGGTCTCACTGTTCCTCGTGCATTCACACCAAATATTTGGGTGTGTTATGCTTAGTCTTTGGCATTCAAGTCAGATTACGTGCTTCTTATAACCACTGCAGTGTTTATTATGTCTTTCTTTTAACAGTCTAAATCTGAAGCAACAAAATGTGTTTATGCATTCCTTCTGAATGGTCTTTTGCAAGGCGACGGCAAATGCTTCCTACAAGAGACAATGGGACTATATTCTTATTTTAGTCAAATTTCGCTTAGGACTTGATTAAAACTACTAATCAGGGGAACAAAGTAAAGTGCTCACAACTAATAAGCAATGACATACTTTCTGCTTTTGACTTTGTCTTATTTGGCAACATAATATAATAGGATGTGATTTGGTGGAGTTTTGACTTAATTTAGTTTCCACTCCCAATTTTCCTTGCCTACTTGAATCATCAGAGAGCATTTAAGCTACTTCTTTTTGAAACAACATACCAGATATCCTCAGGACTGTTCTAGAAGTGTAGCTATTCTACAAAACTATATACAAACATAACAACTATCACATCAAAGTTTAAAATATTAAAAATTTAATGCAGATTAATTAAAAAGGTAAGAAAACAAGTAAAGGAGGCAAGGCATGCTGCTGGATGGACATGTGAAGCACAGGACATCGCCCCTCACTTCCTGGTTATTTTTCTGAAAGCATTTCCCTTGACATAACAGTAAAGCAATGAAAGTAAAAAACTACTAACCTAGAATTTTATACTTGGCAAAATATTCTCCAAAAAATAAAGCAAAATAAGGGCATTCTGGGACAAACAAAAATTTGGCAAAATTGTTGTGGCTCACACTAGAAGAAATACTGAAGGGAGTTCTTTAGGCACAAGAACTTGGAATGGGATGGCAGCAATGCAGGAAAAATAACAGGAAGGGTGGATGCTGAGTAAATTGAAGGACATTTTGATTTTTAAAACAACAATAATAGTGTTTCTTCCTTTGAAAATATAGGTAAGAGCCAGGCGTGGTGGTGCATTCCTGTAATCCCACCAACTCAGGAGGCTGAGGCAGGAGGATCAGAGTTCAAAGCCAGCCTCAGCAAAAGCAAGGCGCTAAGCAACTCAGTGAGACCCTGTCTCTAAATAAAATGCAAAATAGAGCTGGGGATGTGGCTCAGTGGCTGAGTGCCCCTGAGTTCAATCCCCAGAACACCCTCAAAATAAAAAAATAAATAATAAAAATATAAGTAGAATTAAAATCTAGAACAACACAAAAGGAAGCAGAAGTAGTGGATTAAAGTACTGCAACATCCCTGTATTGTCAAAAAATTGTTTAAAAAAAGTAGACTCTACTACTTCAAAAATACACAACTTAATCTCTATGGTAACCACTAAAAAAAAATAAAATTAAAATAATTTTAAACTTAATTAATACAACAAAAGGCAAGAAAGAAAAGAATGAGCCCAGACCAGGCAGGACAAACAGAAAGCCCCAAAAGAGGTGGCAAATTTAAAAGCAAATAGATCAATAAGATCATTAAAATGTGCCTGAACCATTTTCTCTAAGCACATGAAAAAAAAAATTCAACTAAATGAACTAAAAGTAATCAAAAACCGAACTATTTTGCTCTTTTATTAATTAATTCATTGGTTTGTCTCTATTTGTTTTTTGTAGCACTGGGGATCAAACACAGAGCCTTGCACACACCAAGCTAAGC